ACCATACCATACCCACTCTGTATTGACTTGATAGTAACATTGAATATACCAATTAAAATCAAATTAAGACAAAGAATGAACTTCACTTACTATTCCACGGTTTTACTGTCTTATAAAACAGCTTTGTAAATGCAGTGTACAGTACAATTTCACTCAACACTTCACCTTCACTACCACATTTTTTTTAACTTCAGAGAATGCACATTAACACTGAAAACTGTTGCAGAGAACACATGGGAGCCATAGGAGTGATGCAGGAAGCCCTGGCTTAGCCCAGGAGATGATTAACAAATAAAACCATACACAAGAATTGCGAGTGATCGTGCAGGTGAGGGAGAGGGCAGGAGCTTCTTCTATTTTAGTATAATGGCTTGGTAGTACTAATAAATAGTACCAATACATGGTAGACTATTAAAGTCCCATACATCTATTACAGTGATAAAAATAAAGTAATTAGGCTTAAGTAATGTGTTTTGGGGATCGATGAGTAATGTATTTGGAAGGTTGCAACATAAGAAATAAGTTTATTGGATTGCCTTTGGATAAAGTTAAAAGCATAAAATGCCAACTTTGAGGTTTCTATATACTTTTCATCATCAAAGTTTGGGAGCTAAAACAACAGCTACCACCATTTATTGGTATGTGTTAATTAAGATGTGATAGTATTTTCTGTAGCAGAAGAATCTCCCTGACTTACACCTAAATTGATATATAATTTAGGCCTAATGATTTTTTTCTCTTTGCCTCCTTTTGTCTTTGAAATGGGATTAAAGTTCAGTCTGCTACGTGGTCTAGGCAGTTGGACATTATACAAGACGTCCCCAGGGTTGCCACACATACATAGGGAAAAGGAGAATTGTAACTAAATGTGTCTTTATTTACAAAATAGTCATTACAAAGTTTACGAAATATTTCTCTTGTGGTATAAGAATTTTAAAAATAATAAAATGTTAACTATAATATAAAATATGGTGTGACTTTGTTAGTTTTTCCTTTGTATGACAACTTTGGAGACATCCTGGGGTCTGGTTCTTTGGTGTAATGCTGTAAGCATAATAACTAAGTCTAGATGTTAAGTTAGCTCCTCCCACAGACAATCAAAATGTTGGAAGCTAAAGACTGAGTTATATCAATGTGATCAGTCTGAAGCAAAATATCTCTTCTAGTGAGCCTAGAGCTTTACTAGTATAGAAATAACTAACCAATAACTAATTCTTAGTCTCCAGAATAGAGAATATTTTACTAACTAAATTGCACTACACAAGTGATTCCAATATTAATTTGTAAGTTGCTATGAATTTATTAAGGAAGAAATACTAGAGAAATGCTAAGAAATAGTATTGTATGATATCCCCAAAGGAAACAATTTGTTTTTCTTTGTAAGACACAAATGAGTTTCACGCTCATTATGTTTTCCTCTGTGTATGTTGTACCTATCTGGTCTAATATCTTGACCACACACATTGGCCTTTTAATCTAACAATTTTATATTCACAGTTATCCTGTTTGACTAAGCCACAATTATGTTTGCTATGGACTTATACACATGTAAGAAAGTAATTTCACGTCCAAATGGTACTTAAGGAAAAGTTTCAAAACTAAAATATTGAACCAGCGGAGGTTACATATGTAATTTATTTGGGTGTCTTCTATACAACTGTGTTAATTGAAAACCATATTTTAAAACTTTTATTGTCCCTAGAGTGAATTACTGAAACTTAAGCAGCAACAGCAGGAGGAAGAACGTGCCCGCATCCACCGGATTGAACAGAGGAGGTACAAATGGCTAATAAAATAACCTTTGCTGGTTAAATCAATTACCTATAAAGTTTTTGCAGTGTAGGAAAGCACTCCAGTAATAGTATTTGTTATGGTTTGGAATCTACAGTACCTTCTAAAGCTTTGTTTGGGGGGTGATATATGTAGGAGGTATGCCAACTACTACACATATACGTATACACACACATAGGTACACGCACACACACAATATCCTGTGTTCCTGAATAGGGAACATTATAAATTCACATTAGAAAACGAAATCATTTTCTCAAGCTATGTGTTTATTTAGGTTGTATTTAATTTGCCTTCCATTGGGACGAAGCATCACAATTTGAGATGATGCTTCGCCATTTAGGGACTACCTCAGGTTAATTGTCACAGATGGTCAGATGCCCATGTTTGAGTACAAAAGCTCAGACAAAAATTTATTAAGGTTATTTTATAGGGACTCACCTGTTAGAGAAAAATAATCTTCACATAGTCCTTTAGTAATTGTTTAATATTGTAAGTACCGTCCATCTTATTCCTAATATTAGACTCAAGAATATCTAGCAAAATAGTATGTTAATGTTAGGACGGTGCTAATAACCACTGTATGTTTGTCACTATTACTCTAGACTTAACCTGCGTGGGCCAGTTGGGTTGCTTGTTCATTGAGAGTATGCCTTGGTATGGTGGAAAAGAATTGAAGGGTTTTCATGATGTAAAGGAGCAAATGTTTTTGAAAGTGAAGACCTTCTCTTATGTATTTAACCTTCCCACCATCACTGATGCCCATTTTTAAGTTGTGGTGGCTT